CACCAATTTGGCCACAATATAACTGACCTCTACAAAACTGACCAAACCTTAAATTCGTAATCGTCCTTTTTTCACCCCCAAAAATAGCAGAAAAACCAAGAAAAAATTCAACACATTAATCGTAACAATTACTTTTGAATTATGTTTTTTTGTCAAATATTACAGATTATAGAATAATGTTTACTGGATTTAATATAGTTTTGATGGCCACTTCCTTTGATGGATCGTCGGCGATGAAAGATTGAAATGATTATAATGTCCTCAGGTCTTTGTAGAGACTGTGATAACCACATATGATGGACTGACCGCTCATTTATATGCGCATAAATTATTGACAGTTGAGTGATGATGAACTAGCTTCTGTCACAACATGTCTGGAGGTGTGTTTTAACAAGGCTTTGTTGATATAAACATTGGAGACTTTATAGTACATTTCAAACAGTTATACAGGCTCCCAATTGTAGCTACATGTACTACATTGTATGAAACAACCAGATTGGAATATATATCTTTAGATGTAACAATCCTCACAATGCAAAAATAGGCAGACACAGAAATAGATAGACATATAGGTACATGTAGGCTGCTCTGCTATCTGTTGTCTGGTAGGGATTTGAACCCAGAACCTTTAGATTCTAAGTCAACAATTAAACCAGTCAAGACCACCATGCCACCTGTTAAGTTACACTGACTTGTAGTTTAAATGAAAAAAAATAAATTTGACTTGAAAGAGTCTTTGTTTGAAAATACCTCTTCTGTCTTACAGAAACAGTAACAGTCATGCCTTCAAATGTCAGAGTTATCAACCAAGAATCAAGGTGTTCAAAAACTTGTATTTCCCAAGACTTGAACTCGTTGCCACCAAGCACAGTTGGGGCATCATCACTAGAAACCTTTAAACAACTCCTACACTTAAATGTGCAAAGATTGAGTGTAATAAGTCGTTCAGTGTGATATAGCTAGCTGCCGCCGCGTCACGTGCCTGCAAAGCTGGTGTGTTACGTCAAAGGGCTGTTATACCAGTTATACCGAAACAGATACAGGTTCAGACTGTGCATGATGTACAAAATGACTAATACAGTCTGGTGTACGTACCAACCACTAAGTATCTGATACCAACCCAGAAAAGAAAAGTACGTCAAAAGAGCGTTTTCACCTGTTACGTCCAGTTTTGTCAGAATCTATCAGCCACAGACACGTTATAAACCTTTTCTGACAGGTGACAAGCAGAGAAATATAGCATCAAATTTGGCACAGATTCGGCGCGCCCGGTGTGATTGTGCTTGGGATGGTGTTTGGTCACTCATGAAGCCCTCCGAGACTTGGTCTCTGCTCCAAACGATGATGAAAAATTGATGAAATCTTGCGTCTTCATGCTTCATATCACCGACTAAGCCTGATGTGATAGACTTGATAAAGTCTAGGCACAAGTTTCACATGAAATTCAGTTGACATGCACACTCTGCACTTTTTTCACAAAGAAGTTTTTTTAAATTTCAAATTAACTGAGTCACTATGCTAAAATTATCAAACCAACTTGATATTGAGTATATTTACCTATTAATATATATGTTAAACATTGTAGCTGTGTGCTCTTTCAATACCTGTTTTGAAGACTGTTTTGTTTCATATCTTTACAATTACATGCTTTTGTCATTAAAGTTTAGTAGTGCAATAAATGGGGATTTTACTTCTTTTTTATCCTAATCTTCTTACTGATATCTACATAATTGCATCGCCAAATATTTACCTGTGAAGTGAGATTGGATTTTATAGACCAGCTCTTTGTGTAATCATCTTTGTCACGAGTCGCTGACCACTACAGTAACTGGACACAGTGAATGGTCCAGTTCATCACAGACTGACCAGTACACTGGGTATATTTTGATGCAGATTTTGTGTGTCAAATACATTTTATCTTTTATTAAATTCATCTTCCACTGACTCAAAAGAAGAAGTCAAGCCCAACAAAACTAGGACTGTATGTTGTAGAATGTACTGTATAACTTTGCACAAAGTCTCTGATATCGTTGTATCTTCTTTCTCATGCATTTTGTTTGTATTTTACAATTAGCCCGCTGGCATGTATTTGCAATAAACTTTCAATTAATATGTTATCATTATTCTATTTACTTGTAGCAATCTGGAAGCTAGACCAATTCAGTTTAAAAATAGATTTGATTCCAATGAAAAAATTTGTTTTGAAGTACAGTTAATACAGTGTCATGGAAATACATTGTCATGAATTTGTGGTAAAAAATCTACTACTAGTAGTAGATTAACCTTTTATATTCTGAAGTAGCCATTTGCCTACCGATTCTCTATTTGTTATGAGGTTAGGCAGCAGGTAGAAGGTTAAAAAGTGCTTCTTCCTTCTATTACAACTCTACTATGTTAAACCTTTAGCACACTGAAGTATCTTTTTGGCTACCAATTCTCTACTGGTTACAAGGTTAGGCAGTATGGAGAAGGTTAACCTTTAGCACACTGAAGTATCTTTTTGGCTACCAATTCTCTACTGGTTACAGGGTTAGGCAGTATGGAGAAGGTTAACCTTTAGCACACTGAAGTATCTTTTTGGCTACCAATTCTCTACTGGTTACAGGTTAGGCAGCAGGGAGAAGGTTAACCTTTAGCACACTTAAGTATCTTTTTGGCTACCAATTCTCTACTGGTTAAGGGTTAGGCAACATAGAGAAGGTTAACCTTCAAGACAAATTTCACTGCTAAATTACAACAAGTCGAAAGAAAATCCAACACAACAGTTTCAGTCTTTAAAACAGGTGCAAGCTTAAAAGTCGACAAAAGTGTTTCGAACGAAACTAGTAAGAGTGCAATTAAGGGCACTAAGCTCCGTATGTAAGGGGCCGTAATGAGTGACCACTGTTAGAAACTGACCACTCGAACGTCGGTGGTCATTAGCGTCATTCCCTATTCCCATCACGTCCATCATTTATCGTAGGATATGCATGCAGCGAGGGAGGGGAGCACACGGTATGATGAATTTACAGGGGCCCGCGCGGGGTTGTTTTATCGTGTCGTAGCACAGACTGGGACGTACGCCGTCGCAAAATATCGTTAAATGTCAGAAACTAATTAATTGTCCCTTTGTTGGCTTTTATAATGTGTGCTAAACAAAAGATTTTTAAAGAGATTTTTAAAAGAGATCTTTTTAGAGTTGCGTCATATATTTTGATAAAAGTATTTTGTACGCCATCACAAATATCGTTAGACGTCAGAAACTAATTACCCCTTTGTTGCCTTAATGTGCAAGATTTAGTGTAAAACAAAACAAGATTTTTAAAGAGATTTTTAAAGAGATCTTTGTAGAGTTGCGTCATTTATTTTGATAAAAGTATTTTGTACGCCATCACAAATATCGTTAGACGTCAGAAACTAATTACCTCTTTGTTGCCTTAATGTGCAAGTGTAAAACAAAACAAGACTTTTAAAGAGATTTTTAAAGAGATCTTTTTAGAGTTACGTCATATATTTCGATAAAAGTATTTTCAAGTATGGTACAAAAAATGTAATTATGTCATAATGTAAATATTGTTTGACACTGGAACCTACTTGTGTCTTTGTTGGCTTAATGTGCAAAATAAACTTAACATTTTTTTTCCCAAATGATTTTTTCCCAAATGATATTTTTTGATAATGGTATTTTGAAACTCAAGACTATGTTTTACTTAGAACTTGAACATACAGCAATGTATGACATTATATTATTAGACATCGAAAGCTAGTTGTTGACTTAATTTGTAGGACCAGTAAAATTAGACAAGATTTTTTAAAGAGGTTTTTAAAGAGATATTTCTTGATAAAGGCATGTTTTGGAACTTGTATAAAAGGGTTTGACTGCTTCAAAGTACATGTACATTTGCCAATAATTAATTTGAAAGAAAATCATAAAATTCTTATATTCTTAATATTCTACAGAGGAGACCTATTTTACTGAAGTTAACAAAGTTCTAATTTAACTATTCTATCTGCATTTTCATTGATTAATAATCAGTTATTTTACCTTAAGAAAATGTTACTTTTTAGATTATTAGATATTATAAAGTTATTGTTTTTCTTGTGTTTGGAACACAATTGCCAATATATATTGTACAAGTTCTGGTAGTCATATCATAAATACATGTACGTTAATGCTAGTATTGACATATACATGTACATGTAGTAATAGTGGTCACCTCCCTAACTGCATAATCATGTATTAAACAATGAATGGAATGTTATTTCTGCCTAACTCATTATATGTTTAAGGCATGGGTATGGGAGGAAGCATCTTTACCTAACTATAAAATCTCTTTAAAAGCAATTAATTTTGCAAAATGATTTCCAAAAACTTGAAGGTATAAATTAAATTTAGTAGGATATTAAGAAAGAAATCAAAACTGAACATCCTTAGTAGCAGTGATTACTGGTATTAAAGGTCCCAGAAAAAATTATCATTTTCAGTCTTTTATTTCTACTGTTAACTATATTGTATGAGAATCTGATCTTTAATGTCATGTTTGATGTAGCTTAGGCCACACCAATTTAATTTGTTGGTTCTCGGATTTTTTCAGAAAAAACATAAAGCGACAGGGCGAAAAAAGTGAAAATGAAAACAGGTCTACTAGTAGGCATCCTGTTATAGCCCCAAATGCTACAATAGGAGCCAAGAATTCGAAGTCAACACAAAAGGGTTAATATTTAAACAATGAATTTTGAACTTTTAATCAAACCACTGCATTGATGGAAAAACTGTAACAAGTAGGAAGGAAAGGACTTTCCTCGAATGTTGGGGGCGAAATATGAGCATATTTGAGTTGATTGATCTTTCTTTTTTTTTTGCAAATCAGAAAAAAAAATGAAGAGGCGAATCCGAGAACCAACAAATTAAATTGGTGTGGCCTTACCATGGTATCTTGTGCTATCCCGGTAAAAATAGAAATTGTTAAGAAATTGTACCATATCACAGTTAACAGTAACTGTTGTAATCTTTATTGCAGATTGTTGAAGACAATATCAACATCATAATTCTGAATCAACAACAGAAGAGACAAGTATAAACTTTAAGTTACATCGCACTTGGTATGTACTCTGATAGTTCTGAACTATTGTCATTATAATACTTTTACAAAGCATTGCAACATATTATAGAATTCAGATATTCTGAACAAGAGAACGTTAACTTTTAATTACAAAATGATAGTTACCACATGATTGCAACCATTCAATTTTTCATTCTACAAAATACTCAGTTAAATAACTGAACATAACTGTTCAACAAAATACAGTCACTTCATAGCCTGGACATTCTTTAAGTACACAATCATCTACAATATGCATGGATACACATTAAGGACCACTGGTCCACAAACTTTCATATACGACAAGTTTCTTTACCATACCTTCCATATTCTGGGGGTTTCCACATCATAATTGTCACTTGGGTTTACAAATACAATATATAAACTTTTTTTAAGACATTCTTTTAATTCTATTTCTTGTGTCAACATTATTTTTTTTTCATGTGCAGATGTCACAAATTACCTTCAGGATTGGCTGGAAAAAGTAGAAATCGGCTACAAATAATTTTTTAAAAATGCCAGGGGAGTTGGTCTGCCACAGGAGTACTTTCAGGTGAGGCAAATGTACGCCTTAAGTGGACCAACTCTCCTGGCATGTTTTTTTGTCCCTTTGACCAATTTTTACTCTTTCCAGCCGTTTCTGAAGCCTGGCAGAGGCTATCTCAAAATAACTCTAAGACTATAGATTCGTCCTTATCTTTGGGGGTATTCTGTACGGAAATGGCGCCACTTTTTCGTAGTTGTCGATATCCCAGGACCCTTGCGGGTCGCACTTTCTCGTGGTCAGCTTTAGGACACCTTTGGTGTGGAGGCTTCTGAGGACCAGGTTCTCTGCGTCCATTTTGTGAACCCTGCTGTAGGTCTGGTTAACCTGAATGAATGAAAAGAAAGGTTCGTTCGTCAAAACACATAACAATCATGGGCTGGATTGTGTGTTTCAATACAATAATACTAGATAAAAAGCACACTTAACTTAAATCCTTGTCCTGCGGAGCACAACAATTGTTGTTCTGCACATACAGTACCATCTATATAACACCCTGTATTGGTATGATTTGGGGGTGTTTCTCGCGCAACGCATCACACCACAGCAAAACGCAACGACTGCGGAAGTAACTATGCCACTGCAAGGCAAAATCTTTGGGGGTCTATGATCTAATCGATACATGAAATTATTGAAAAATATTGTGCCAGGAATGCCAGCAGGACAAGGGTTAAAAAGTACATACTTAAACATAATTAAAAGGACGGGGGGCGATATCGACTTCAGACAACCTTTGACCCTTTGCTGATGTCACACGTGGGAAAAATCACGTGTCCACAGCATTTGGGTCAGATAGCTGAGGAAGACTGAGTGATTCAGTCGAAAATTTCTGGTGAGTCAAATTTTGAGTTGGAGAACAGTTTAAGTTTTTCATAATGTAATTTACCAACTCAGCTGAACTTTCATGCTGATGTAATTAAAAGGAACTGAGTCTATAGGCCAGTCGGGTATGTACAAATCTCACTACCACAATGCATACTGTTTTGCTATTACAGGTACTGCTAATGTTTAACAGATAGGTCACCTCCTTGGGTTCATAGTAGTGGTAGGGGATGGGGTGTCCCTCCTCGTCTTCTTGGAAGGGGTAGAAGCCGTAGAGATGGATCTCGTCGCAGATCGCCTGGGCTACGGTGTACATAAACACACCGGACGTCAGGCGGTAGGCTTTGAACTGGTGTTTCACTCTCCAGTAGCTGTGAAAAAAACAGAAATGTATTAATAGAGAAAATACGAGAAGAAATTTGGCAGGCTACTAGTAGGTTGGTTGACCTAGAAGTAGAATTGAAAGGTACTGGGTTTGAATCCCTAGCATGCGATAGGCTTTGAACTGGTGTTTCACTCTCCAATAGCTGTGGAAAAAACAGAGATGTACAAATGTATGATGAGAAAAAATATGAGGAGAAATTTGGCAGGTTACTACATGTAGTAGGTTGACCTAGAAGTAGAATTGAAAGGTACTGGGTTTGAATCCCTAGCACGCGAAAGGATTTGAACTGGTGTTTCACTCTTCAGTAGCTGTGAAAAGAACAGAGATGTACAAATGTATGGTGAGAGAAAATACGAGAAGAAATTTGGCAGGTTACTAGTAGGTTTGTTGACCTAGAAGTAGAATTGAAAGGTACTGGGTTTGAATCCCTAGCACACGAAAGGATTTGAACTGGTGTTTTACTCTCCAGTAGCTGTAGAAAGAACAAAAATGTTACCTCATTTAATGTTCTCCCTTTGTGAAATCTGATATGCCCAAGCATAGCACTCAGATGATCAGAAAAAGAAATTTCAGTCATTGCAGCAACTTGAAGCAGAAGCTGCAGTTCAGAACAACATTGCTAGAGGGCACTGGAGAACAGTGTAATTCAATCGGATGGCATTTCAGCACCAATATATCTCCAGACCATAACACTAGACTTTAGGAAGTTAAGCTTCCTAAAGTTTCTGTAGATTTTTACATCCTTTCTCTTTGAAGGTGTCTATGAAATCTGATATGCACAAACAGACCACTCATGGTCACAACTAGTGAGTTTTAAAACAAAAATATGTCACCAGAAAGCTTTTAACATTGATTACAGAAGTAAATGGAACCTGCAGTTCAGGACAACATTGTTAGAGGGCACTGGAGAACAGTATAGTACAATTGGATGGCATTTCAGCACCAGGGTGTCCAGACTTTTACCCATAACTCTAGTAAGACTTTAGGAAGTTTAGCTTATGCACTTTGAGTTGTAAGGTAGATTTTTACATCCCTTCTCTTTGAAAGTGTCTGTGAAATCTGACCAAACAGAGCACTCATGGTCACAACAAGTGAGCTTCAAGACAAAAATATGTGTCAACAGAAAAGTTTTAAAATTGAAGCAAACAGAACCTGCAGTTCAGAACAACATTGCTAGAGGGCACTGGACAACAGTGTTTATACAGTCTAATAAATCAAATCAAACAGTATAATTCCTTGGATTGGCATTTCAGCACCATGCTGCTGTCCAGACTTTTAACCATTAAATGGAACCTGCAGTTCAGAACAACATTGCTAGATGGCACTGGAAAACAGTAGTAAATGACTCACCCATTATTGAAAGGCAATTCAAACTCTACTACTAGATAAATAACGGAGATAACTTTGGAATTCCGGACATTTCAAGTGACATCTCTAGCGTCGCTAGATGAAGTGAGAGCAGAAGTTCATTTAATGTCAACTTGTGCTCTCAGTTCATTTAGTTACACTGAAGATGAGTGATGAATGTCACTCAAAACATCTGGAAGTTATCTCCGCTATTTATCCAGTAGTAGAGTTTGATTTGTCTTTGAATATTATTTTACCTGGATGTCTAACCTTCATCAACGACTCACCCATTGATCCACTACAATGCATTGCAGTTCAAAACAACATTGCTAGAGGGCACTGGCAAACAGTTACTGCAGTAAATGACTCACCCATTGATCCATTTCAGTGCGTTGCCGAGCCATGCCAGCTTGACGTTGGTCTTGTTGCGGTTCTCCCAGAAGAAGTCGGTGAGTATGCGTGCGGGGATGGCGTTGGTATGGTACGTGAAGACCGGCATCCAGAAGATCGCGTCGCCCAAGGCCTGAACAAACCTCAGGAACTTTCGCCTGTCCTTTTCAGTGGCAAGGTACTTGAATCTGCAACAGGGGGTGGAGGGAGAGGTAGATTAAAAGTTTAAACTAGAGAAGTAACATTTGCAAAGCAAATGCATAATGTTTACCTTCGGATATGGTCTGCTCTGTTAATTCTTACTCAAACACATTCACATACATGTGTACATGTACTATTAGTATATGGTGACAGGAGCAGAGCAGACTATGAAATTGCAACATTATGTAACCCAACACCAGTCACCATGGTGACAGACATCAATAAATCATGTCATTGGTCAGGTCAGAGGTTACTGTTTGGAGAAGAAGAAGAGGAGGAAGAAACTGAGCAAAAACAATATGTTTTCCTTCGGTAAACATAAAAAGTCCTGGCATTAGACTAAGTGTAGTACATGAAGACGGGCATCCAGAAAATCCAGTCGACGCTTGAACGAACAAGGTACTTGAATCTGCAACATAGGTTGGCAAGGTCTTATAGAAAATGTATATCATGGTCCGTGTTTTAGTGATTTGTTCAACCTTACTGAACAATTCGGTGGCAAGGGGTTATAGAAAGTTTTATGAAAGTGCATTGAGGAATACATTGATTTTGAATGTTTATTAAAGGATTTATTGTTTGTATGCCATGCTCTGTGTGTTCAGTCATTTGTAGTAAATTTGGTAAAAGACCAATCTACATCCAATTTGTAAGGATGTCTAAATTCCACCTGTATTAGAGAATGCTCCTGTTGAAAGTGGTAAAGTTGTTCTTGGTGCCCACGTCTCTCTCGTACCCTTTTGCACATGTCTTATACCAGTATTTAGACTTAGGGGGCATGTAAGGCAGAAGACCAGTTTTGAAGACTGAGGGATATTTAAAACCAACCTGTATTGCAGAATGCTCCCGTTGAAAGTGGTAAAGTTGGTCTTGGTGCCCACGTCTCTCTCGTAGCCTTTTGTCGGAGCGAAGTTGCAGCGGAACACGAAGTCAGCCTTGTCGATCTCATTGCCACAGCCGCTGTCCAGGAGAATCCCGCTGTTCCCGATGACAGCGCACTTCCGATGGTGCATGCCCTGCAGCGGGGATCTGGGCAGAATAACTCTCAGTAAATAAACTGGTTTATGTACTGTATTACCGGCATGCCTGCGAAGCTGGTTTGTTACACCAAAGGGCGGTTATACTGACCATACAAATACAGAAGCTGGTGTGTTACACCAAAGGGCGGTTATACTGACCATACAAATACAGAAGCTGGTGTGTTACACCAAAGGGCGGTTATACTGACCATACAAATACAGAAGCTGGTGTGTTACACCAAAGGGCGGTTATACTGACCATACAAATACAGAAGCTGGTGCAATGTTGCACCAAAGGGCGGTTATACTGGCTATACAAATACAGAAGCTGGTTTGTTACACCAAAGGGCAGTTATACTGACCATACATATACAGAAGCTGGTGTGTTACACCAAAGGGCGGTTATACTGACCATACAAATACAGAACCTGGTTTGTTACACCAAAGGGCGGCTATACTGACCATACAAATACAGAAGCTGGTGTGTTACACCAAAGGGCGGTTATACTGACCATACAAATACAGAAGCCTGGTTTGTTACACCAAAGGGCGGTTATACTGACCATACAAATACAGAAGCTGGTGTGTTACACCAAAGGGCGGTTATACTGACCATACAAATACAGAAGCTGGTTTGTTACACCAAAGGGCAGTTATACTGACCATACAAATACAGAAGCTGGTGTGTTACACCGAAGGGCAGTTATACCGGCTACCGGTATACAGAAACTGAAGCTGGTGTCTTATACCAAAGGGCGTGCAGTTATACCAGACTATGCAGATATAGAAACTGGACAGGTATGTTATGCGGAAGAGCGGTTATACTGGCTATACAGATACAGAAGCTGGTGTGTTACACCGAAGGGTGGTTATACCGGCTATACAGATACAGAAGCTGGAGTGTTACGCCGAAGGGCAGTTATACTGGCTATACAGATACAGAAGCTGGTGTGTGACGCCGAAGGGCGGTTATACCGGCTATACAGATACAGAAGCTGGTGTGTTACACGGAAGGGCGGTTATACCGGCTATACAGATACAGAAGCCGGTGTTATGCAGAAGAGCGGTTATACTTGTTATACAGAATCTGATATCCTGAAGGGCATGCAGTTATATGAGGCTATACAGGTACAGGTACAGTACCTCTGCGGCAAGAGGTCGTACATCGAGGAGTTATATGAATGCTAAAGGGCAGCTATATAGATACAGAAACAGATACAGGTAACGTTACAGTACAGAAGCATGGTGTCTACATGCCAAAGGGCATGCAGTTAAACTGGTCTATTCAGATACAGCTAAAGATACAAAAGCTGGTTTGTTACACTGAAGGGCAGTTCTACTGGCTATACAGAAACAGATACAGGTACAAGTACAGGTATAGGTACAGGTACAGGTATAGGTACAAGTACAGGTACAGGTATAGGTACAAGTACAGGTATAGGTACAAGTACAGGTACAAGTACAGGTATATGTACAAGTACAGGTACAAGTACAGGTATAGGTACAAGTACAGGTATAGGTACAGGTACAGGTATAGGTACAGGTACAGGTATAGGTACAGGTACAGGTATAGGTACAAGTACAGGTATATGTACAAGTACAGGTATAGGTACAAGTACAGGTATAGGTACAAGTACAGGTATAGGTACAGGTACATGTATAGGTACAAGTACAGGTACAGGTTCAGGTACAGGTACAACTACAAGCACAGGTTCAGGTACAGATACAGGTACAACTACAAGTACAGGTACAGGTACAGGTATAGGTACAAGTACAGGTACAGGTACAGTACCTCTCTGGCAAGAGGTCGTACAACATTGGTGAGATGGAGAAGACATAGTTCTCCGGAGACTGGTCAAAGTGCATGATGGTCCCTGGCTGGACGTCCTTCTTGGTCAGACTTATTCTTTTCACCACGTTGAAGTACTTCCGAAGGCCCTTCCTGTCAGAAAAAAAAATATTTTTCATTTGACTGATGGCAATGTAAATGATGTGAAGATTTTTTTTACCATTCCTACAATGTATGCATGATGTACAAAATGACTAATAAACTGTATCTGTGGACATATCAACCACTATGTACCTAATACCAGCTCAGAAAAGAATCTTGAAGTCATGCCTTCAAGTACTAGAGTTATCAACCAACTGAAGGTGTTCCAAAAACTCAATACATATTTAATTTGAGAACTATCCAAAAGTGGAACTTTAGAAATACAGCTGTGGCATCATCACTACAATTACATGTATTATTAGCTTTAGACAATGTTTCAAGAGATAGTTTTAAACGAGTTTGACGTTCAAAGGCTAGGTGTTACAAGTTGTTTGGTGTGTTACAAGTTGTTCGCCGCACCACATGCCTGTGATGCTGGTGTGTTACACCGAAGGGCGGTTATACCGGCTATACTGATACAGATTTCACTTCTACCCCACACTAAAACTGTTACAGTTAGGCCACACAGCCTTAATTTTATGGATGACATCTGCGCGCGCATTGATTTTCGCATGTTCTAAAAATAATAAAGATCACGTCCACCGAGGCTCTGGCCTGGCTCTAAGCCTGGGTAGTCCATATGGTAGTTTAAGCAACAATACGGACCCGGGCACCCAGGCTACCGAAGCTCCACGACTCAAGAACTCATGCAGTACATACGTACATGTACAGTGCCGATTTATAAATTCGCAAAAAGCCAGCATGTGTCGCCTTGTCGTGTACGTCGCTATGTACTGCCGCAAATTCACACTACCAGCTTTGTATTCCTGTGGTTTAGTAGCATTTTTATATCTTTGGCCGGATTTTTCTTTTATTCGCCCGCGCGCACTAGTTTGGGGGACATCAGAGGATGTCATCCATAAAATTAAGTCGGTGTGGCCTTATTTGTGAATTTACAGTATAATAAGTCATCTTACTTTGCCATGGCCACCTCAGTCATGTTGAGAGTCCAGGGAGGCTGTTTGGGGATTTTGGTGACCAGCAAACCTTCGCTGGTCACTGTCTCGTCAAAGGGGTCGTATAACGACACGTTCTGATTGGTCATCAGGGACTCTTCCTGGTCTTCATCAAAGTCCGAGACGTTGAAGGCGGATTGCACTGCAAGGTCATCGCTATGGCAACGCAGACAACAGGAAGATGATTGGTCAGTATTACATATTCGTTTATCAGGCAAATCACTAGTACTTAAGAGGTCTTGCCTACTACTATTCTCTTATCATCTGGCACACAGATTGTACCTAGGATAGCTTGAATCACATTCCATAAGTTTATATTACATGGTTTGAGAAGTATAGTGAGCAGGCTCTCCAACTCTGTCCTGCTGCATACATTGTAACCCAACACCACAGGGTAGCTGCCACAGCACCAGTTACCATGGTAACAGACGTCTGGTCCAGGTCTTTCACCATATGTGTTTGGAAAAGGAGAAGAAACAGAGCAAAAACAAAGACTCAAAAACTCCATAGGCCATTATATGCCTGTACAACAAGTCGTCCCAGTAAGACTTCTAGGACACTCTTGTTTTACTTCAGCGCCCATAGTGTGGTATTCTGTTTAGCTTTCTTTGTGTTTTTCTCTGTTTTGTAATATATGTTGATTTTTATTTGCCACATAATGATTGTACAAATCACTGTTACTCAGCTTGTTGTACATACTGCGAGGCTGATTTTCCAAATAAAACTGTCAACAGTATGTTTTCCTATTGTGAAGGTAAGGCCACACCAATTTAATTTGTTGGTTCTCGGATTTTTTCAGAAAAAATATGAAGCGACAGGGCGAAAAAAAAATAAAAATAAAAACAGGTCTAGGCATCCTATTATAGGCTTAAATGCTACAAAATGAGCCATGAAGTCAACACAAAAGGCTGGGTTAAAATTTAAAACATTGAATTTTGAACTTTTAATCAAACCACTGCAATGATAGATGGGAAAACTGTAACAACTAGGAAGAAAAGGACTTTCCTCAACTGTTGGGGGGCAAAACATGAGCATTTTTCAGTTGATTCAGAACCAGAATCAAAAATTTTTTTTTCTTTTGCAAATCAGAAAAAAACGAAGAGGCGAATCCGAGAACCAACAAATTAAATTGGTGTGGCCTAATTAATATTAATGCAATGTGCGACCATGTTACCTGTCTCCCAGGTAGAGATGCCTCTGATCTAATTTCCTGTCTTCTTTGGTGATTTGTCTGGGGAGGTAAAAATAGACAGGAACAATTAGAATCTGTGCTCAAAATAAAAACATTGACATTAAAACAGAGTGTTACTGCACTGCTGGCTCCCCAACCCGAGGGAATATTGAACTAAGGCCACACCAATTTAATTTCTTGGTTAACGAATTCGCCCGCTTCATTTTTTTCTGATTTGCAAATAAAAATAAAAATTCAGAATCAACTGCAATTAATGCTCATAGTTTGCCCTGAACAGTTGAAAACATTATTATTATTATTATTACTGTCCTTTTCATCCTACATGTAGTTGTTACAGTTATTCCATCTTTCAATGTAATGGTATCATTAAAAGTTCAAAATTCATTGTTTAAATTTTGAACCAACCTGGTGTGTTGACTTTATGGCTCCTATCGTACCATTTTGGGCCGTAATAGGATGCCTAGGCCTGTTTTTATTTTTTCGCCCGCCCGCTCCATTATTTTTCTAGCAAAATCAGTTAACCAAGAAATTAAATTGGTGTGGCCTAAGGGCCAAAATTCCCCATGACAGGTGGTGTTCAACTGACGAACCCAATGGTGAGGCATACCAGCAACATCAAACAATGTGTGTGTTTTTTAAACTAACATTACATTAAATCAATATATTACACATTATACAATGTGTATTGTTGTAATATATTACATTGTATCTACTAGAAATTGATTTTATGTATGTTGCATGGGCAAAGAAAACAAAAAAAATTGCCCTGAACATGATTTTTGCTATCAACACTGATTTCTGTTGCCGAAAATTATTTTATTTTTGCAGCCTTTTCCATGATAAGACTTTTTCAAGACGCACTTAAGCTTGCATGACAATCCCCAGGAATACCCTCAGTTTGCAATCATGACAATTGCACAATGTATGAAACCAGGCCCTAAATTTGAAAGATAATTCTTCATAAGAATGAGAAATGATCAGGAAACACAATTAGGCCACACTGACTTAATTTTATGGATGACATCCGCGCGCGCATTGATTTTTGCCTGTCCTCAAAAAGAAAAAAAAGATCACGTCCTCTGAGGCTCTGGCCTAGCTCTAGGCCTGGGTATGTACGTACGTAGTCCAATTGCTAGTTAGCGACAATACAGAGCCAATGGGAACTCTGGAGGACGGCACTCAAGCTACCGAAGCTCCACAACTCAAGAACTCAGTACATACGTACAGTGCCAGTTCATAAACTCTGCAAAAAGCCAGCATGTGCCGGCTTGCCATATACGTTGCTATGTACTGCTGCAAATTCACAGTGCCAGCTTTGTATTCCTGTGGTTTAGTAACATTTTTTCTTTTTTGGTGAGAATTTTTTTTATTTGCCTGTGCGCACTAGTTTCGGGGTCTTCAGAGGATGTCATTCATAGAATTAAGTCGGTGTGGCCAAAATATGTGGCACTGAACACTTGGGTTACTTCAGTACCATGTCCTTACAGTACTATTACCTAAAAATTTTTTTCTTATTTTTCTTATGTTGAGAAATATTTTCTTGCCAGGGGGATTTTCAAGAAAATTCAAGAGACATTCTTGAAAGATTTGGTATGTTGATTCTTACACAAAGAATTTTATTCTCCTTTTTTTCTCAAGGAAAGAAAATATTTCTACTATCATGCTCACCAAGAAGAATCTTAAGAATTTCTAGAATTTTAAGAAAATTTACTGTCTTTTTTTCTGCTACAAGAAATCTTTCTTTGTGTACAGAATGGTTTTCTTGCTTCAAGAACAGTTTCTTAGTTCAAGAAATATTTTCTTGTGGACAGAATCGTTTTCTATGTGTTTCTTGAATTTTCTTGCTACGGGGATTTTTAAATTTCTTGTTCAAAGAATAATTTTCTTGCTATAGGATACATTTTCTTTGTACAAGAAAGAAGGAAGAAAAACAAGAAAAGGCATTTTTGGTAGCATTGAACACTTGGATTACTGTTACAGTAGTACCATGTCCTTACAGTCAAGGGCAAGTCTGTAATAGGATTAATTTTGTAACTGCTGGGAAACCTTCAAGTCTTTTCTCAAGACAGAGACATGCATTCACACACCTTGAACTTAAAGGACAAGTAATATGTTAAAGTGCATTTAGGCATAATCCTTTGGACTTCTTAATCCAGGCATAATCCTTCTTAATCCTTTTTCCTGTAATCCCCTGTCAGCACGACAGATTAGTGCACACAGAGTCTTAAACTTATGACGTATGTATGTAATCTACGTCCGGAAAATCTGCCAATCTTAACATGAAACTACACAAACGTTTTGTAGTCCTAAGGCAAAGACCTGTCACTGTAACAGTTGTTCCAAGTTTAGCTGTAAAATACCAACGGCTTACACCCCTTCTCACGGTGTTAAGGCCACAGCAAGTAAATTTTATGGATGACATCCTCCACAGACTCCAAATCTAATGCGAGCGGGCGAAAAAAAAACAAGGCGGGCCAAAAAAAAAGTTTCCTACATTTCAAAATTTTGACTCAATCATTGTACAAATGGTTTTGATTCGGTGGGAACATCACATATACACAGCCAGCATCACATATCACTGCATTTAAGTAAGAAACAAAACATTAAATCAGTGCCTTTTTTTGTCTTCTCTCTTCATAGTTATCTGCCATCCACCTTCCGGCATGGCAACAGACATCTTTGCCCATTTTCGGCATGTTGATCACTGTCAGAAGGCTTCAAAATTTCTTTTTTTTTTTCCCCAAAATCAGGCAAAAATCGATGCGCACGGTGATGTCATCCATAAAAATTACTTGCTGTGGCCTAAGCGAGAAATTCATGGCTAATTGAGAAGAATTGAGAAGAAAACATCTTTAGAGCCATCAAGTGTTTCTTTAAGATTCTGGCGCCACTATACGATGATTAATCTTTGCCGACTTTACGACACAAAACCGTCATCGAGACATTGACACGTCACGGTTTTCAACGACTCTGATCTAATTAGTTTTGCCGACACTGTTTCCCTTTTGTAGACAGAGGACCAAAATGTGATCCAGTTAGTTGGAGAAGCCCGCTTATTGTTTATCGTTTACCCACAGATCGTGTTGCCACGGTAACAAAACAAACACAAAGGAAATTGAGGGGGAAAGCACCTGATCTAATCAGTCTATGGCTTACTGGGAACATGTGTTGCCAAACTGCTGAGGAGATTGGTTTTACATGCCCTACGTAGGGTAGTGTGTGCATACATGTAGTCCAGTGGTTGGGATCCTGCCTCTGGACCAAGAGGTTGGGAGTTCGAATCCCGGCTGTTGTTGCTCGCCCAACATGCATGCTACTGGAAAGCATTGCAGTCCTAATAATAGGATGGGACATCAAGCTGTGGTCCACTGTTCATCATGCTTGGTGGAAAGAGCTAAAAGACTTTCCCCGATCTTGTAAATACTCAGTACATAGCTTCGTTCTATCTTCTCTGTCACAACCAGTGGGAGATTAGCTCTTCAGTGTCAGCTAAAACTGAATTACTTTGAAATTCCTTTCCTGGAGTTAGGGGAAGCACATATACATGTATGTAAACTTAACAAGGATTTCGGTCTAACACCAAAAGATATAAGACATCACATGCTACTAGAAGCTGATAGCATACATGTGTACGAGATGTATAGAGGATCCACAATTCTTGCATATAGAGATCACATTCAAATTCAGATCACATTTAGAGTGTTAGGAACATGATTGTTAGTCTAAGAGTGATCTCCCATTTACACATCTTGAGTTTGAAGGGAATCCATTGATCTAAATCTTTTACAATAGTTCACTATGCTTCACAGAAAAATTTGCACAGACTGTTTTTCTACAGAAACAGTGTATTCAGCAACCTTTTGAACTGTAATGGTCCATAACATGAAGTTTGTAAAGTCTAGGTACTATATACAAAAGGATGGGTCATCAATTGAAGAGTGTGTACTCTGTGACCCTGTGTCTCTTCTGTGTGTATTGTTGTCAGGTTGATGAAAGACGAACAAATATCTGATGTCTACATGTATAATCTCAGTATTATTGATGATGAATGGATTTTTAACTGCCTTTGATGACTGTGGACAACCAACATTTACTTCAGAATCAACAATTGTTTACATGTACAGAATGTATTATTTTATAGATGTACATTTAGGCCGCACCAATTTAATTTTTTGGTTCACGGATTGCCCCGCTTCATTTTTTTCTGATTTGCAAATAAAAAAACATTTCAGCCTCAGAGTCAATTTCAACATGCTCATATTTTGGCCCCAACAGTTGAAGGAAGTCCCTTCTCTTCAGAGTTGTTACAGTTTTCCCATCGATCAATGCAGTCGTTTGATTAAAAGTTTGAAATTCAATGTTTCAATTACAAACTACTCTGGTATGTTGACTTCATGGCTCCTATTATAGCATCCGGAGCTATTAATTTATAGGATGCCTAGACCTGTTTCTATTTTTATTTTTTTTCACCCTGTCGCTTCATTTTTTTTTTCTGAAAAAATCCGACAACCAACAGATTAAATTGGTGTGGCCTTAGTGTACGGTTCTTTACAGCTGAAACATGAAATCGAGACTTCAGATCCAAAAGTGATGGTAAGCCTTACTGTCTTTTCCATCAGAGTCATAACATACAACTGGATTTAATGAATTTAGTAACAGGTAGTGTAAACAAGCTATTTATACCCGTGTCCATAAATAAGTCTGTTTTGTAAAATTCCGGCATAGTTACCATACACAACATTGCATTTTCTCACCCACATATCCTTCTTCTAGACAAAACATATATTTCGCCTCACAATTATTGGAAGGAATTTAGGCACATAGTTCAAGCTCAACTTGCACCCAGACCAATACCAAAATCCTTTGTCCTAATGTCGTTACTCCTAACATAATCAGGATATGGCTTTAGCAAAGGTGCTTAGTTTCCAAGACAGCACACTGTGATACATTCCCAGGAGGATTTTAAGACTGAGGTGATTTTTCCACTTTTGTACAGATTCTTATAGCCATATAGAGATGTTATACCTGGTATGAATTTT